GTCGAGGGGATCGTGGCGAACCCTTCTCTCAAGGCAGAGGGCTGGATCTTCGGGAGCGCGGCCAGAAAGTCCTCAAAAGTGACGAGGAGGGTTTCGTCGGCCTCGGACGATGATGATTGGCCTTTGATATACTTGACAAGTCGGCGGAGGGATTTGATGCTCTCTGCATCGGGATGCTTGTCGAGGTGGTTGTCACCGTCACCGTCGCCGTCCACGTCCATGATGTACTTGTCAGAGTTTGCCTGGAGGACGTCTAGATAGCGCTCCATGGCCGTCGCCGAAGCTGTCAGTACAAGGTCATTCAAGTCGGCGCCGACAAATCCCGGTGTGCGTTTGGCAAGGACGTCGAGGTCAACGTTATCGGCCATCTTCATGCCCTTGGTCAAAGCCTCGAGAATTCTTGCGCGGTCAGGCTCGGTGGGTACTCTCATATTGATCTCTTTGTCGAAGCGGCCTCCTCTTCGCAGAGCTGCGTCGAGCGTATCCAATCGGTTCGTCGCGGCCAGGACGATCACTGGTTTGCCATCCGTCTTCTCCAGCGTCAGATCGTCCATGCAGACGGACAGCTGCGCGACAATTCGTTTCTCCATCTCCCGTTGGGCGGTCTCTCGTTTTTGAGCAATGGCATCAATTTCGTCAATGAACAGTAAGCAGGGGGCACAACTCTTTGCTTCATCAAAGAGGTCTCTCAGAGCTTTCTCACTTTCACCCGACATGCCAGACACGATGCTGGTGGCCGAAACGGAAATGAAATTCACCCCGAGCTCTGCGGCCAATGCGTTGGCTATCATCGTCTTACCACACCCTGGGGGTCCGTGCAAGAGGATGCCGCGAGGTGGTTGCACCTTGTTAGAGGCATAAATCTCCGGTTTACTCATGGGGATAACGAGTAGTCGTCTCAGTTCCTGGATCACCGGGGTCACACCGCCCAAGGACTCCAGCGAGACGTGTGTCGGTGGTGATCTGTCGACCGAGACATTGGCAGCTCGACGCTTCTTAGGGCGGGGTTCGCCATTCGTGAGGCGTTGCGCAGTGGCGAGTTGAGGGGATTCCATAGTGGGAGTCGATGCTGGCTTCGTCGTAGAGGCAACTGGCACAATCGAGGTTGACCAGGCACTGACGATGCTCTTGTTCAATTTATTTGACAAAGGTTTGTGTGTCTGCCGCGGCTCTTCCTCTTCAACGGCCACGAAGTCTTCGGAACCAGATTCTTGATCCTGCTGGATGGTTTCGAGCACTCGCTGGATGCTGTCCTCGAGTAATTTTTTCGGTCTCCGGTTCAGGCTTGAATTAGACGCTCGGATCTCGTCGTATACGACAGCGAAGGACAAGGAGGTACTCTGAGCGTCTCCGTACTGCGCACGATCATCAATGATTTTGCGGACAACTTGATAAACCTGCCGACACCATGGTGAGCACAAAATTTCGGCGTGTAAAAATGGAGGGACAGCCCCAGCATACCTCTCTATCCAATCCCTGGCCTAATGTTTGACGACGTCGACCTGCTCGAGCCATGCCGCTCAAGAAGGCGGCGATTCCAGAATTTGTTCAAAAATGTGGGATGTTTCAGTGGGCGCATTTTCACGAGTTTTTGTCTCGTCGCCTCCCCGGATTTGAGCCTCGCTTAGTCTCGAAAATTTCCGGCGGATCATTCACTCTACGAAGCGCAGTGCCGACTATGCGAGTTGTATGAAGAAGCATAAACATTGAGGATCAGTACAATCCCAGACAGGGTGGTTTTATGCAAGTCAACTATGTTACCCGTTGTCCATGTCAATTACTCTAGAACTATTCGAGAGTGACATGTAATACAAAGCAAGTACCCCAATCCTGCTTTGGTTCAGGAGAACGGCGCATCCCAGATGTCTTCATATTGGTGTCCGTACTCGTACTTTAGTCGCCTTGAGTGCCCAGTGTCCTGCCATGTCACATGAGAATAGCCCTTGTCCAGCTACTATGACCCAAGAGCTGGGCGCCTCTTCACGCAGACCGCTGTTGGATTGATTGCCACACTTCTGGCGCCTCAGAGGAATAAGCACACTATTGCTTCTTCTCATCCGTCTTGCGTGAGAAGCCCAGGTCTCCCAGGTGTGTGTGACTGAAGCTGGTCCCGTACTTCAGCCCATAGCCCAGCATACGGTCCATGCCAATGTGCGCGAGCCAGCTCAAAGCTAGTCCAGTGATGGTCTTGTTGTCTCGTGCCAATCCAAAGCATAGAAGAAGTATAGGAGGCGTTTCCGTGTGGAAGGTGTTGTACAAGACAGCGCCGGCTGAGGTGTTGGCGAGATATCCAGCCATGCCCAGATCTGGGGTCAATAGGAGGGCGGCAAAAGTCCACCAAGACTGTCCGGAACGCGAGTAGGCCCAGATGGTGGAACCGAATATGCAAGCACCTTCGAGCTGCAGGAGCCTTCGTGGCCAAGTCTTGACAAAGCCGTCGTTCATGGTGCAGGGGCTGGTACTCTGGAGGAATCGTCTCAAGGTCGCAAGGGAGCTGTGGGCAGGATGGAGGTGCAGAGGCTACAGATGTGGTGGCCTTACTGGATCTATATACAAGTATTCCGTATAGCATTTGCCCAATAATGACGAACAGGCGAAGCTTATAAATACCCAAAAGCGATCGCTTGGCGCTATCAATGCAATGCCCATTCTCCACAAGACAGTCTCCTGCGACCACGGCTGGCACGGTTTATTAGGTGACATTGGCTCCGTTCTTGTGCAGATGGCGCTCCCGTGCACTCTGTGGCTTGCTATAGTGCGACATATGGTGCATACGAGTACGAATACGAGTTCATACTCGTATGTATGAGCACCGCGTACCTCCGGACGAGATACTCGTGCACCAAGCCATCCCAGACACACTTTGCTGCTTCCGGCTATGGATCGGTGCTTGAAGGCGCTTGTTGACATATCATCTATCCACTAAATCTGCTGGTGGGGGCCCTTCTTCGGCCCAAGTCGATAGTTGTTCCTCAGCCTGGTTGCCGTTTAACCACTTCTCCCTCCTCTTTCTTCTCCATTGCCTCCAGCACACCGGCTGATTGTTCCGTCTGCTTTCGTCTGGTATCGCTCCTTCTACGAAGATTGCGGCCTTCACCGAGGTCACTGTCACTGCGCAGTTGCTCGATTCGAGCTCCCTTCCCTCGGTTGCGACGTCCATTGCGAGCGAATTTAGCCCAAAACCAGGCTCCCACATCAGGATAGATGGTTCTATCCCGATCCTTCAAACCGACGACCACCGGTGACATGTCGAGCGCATCATTAGTACATCCACAACCACGAAACCGGGTTTATCCACCGGTACTGGCTCTCCCGTTCTGGATCCAGCGTAAGCTCCTTCGGGCGCAATAGCTGGAGTCGGGGCTGTCCGTCTTCCCTATCATCTTTTCTGTTGTCTGCGCTGTCCTCATCTTCAGACGATCGCGGTCGTGGTCGCATCGTTTTGTCGTCAAGGCCGAGCAGAACAGCATGGAGATGAAAGCGAGTTGTGCATATACCATCAAAATGTCGGAACTTGAGGACACAGGCATGCCGGACAGAAGCTAACAAATCTACCTCGCAATGAACTGCTAGGTCAGAGAACGACTTACGACGTTGATGGTGATATTTCAGAGCTGGAGGCTCGTCTTCGGCCATCGTCTTGCCCATGTTTGGACGTTTGTTCTGGTGCCGTAATGGAGAACATGATCTCGGAAATGAAGCCATCGTCTGTATAATCGTGGTTCCAGGTCCACAACTTCTTTAGGGTTCGCAGCTGAGAAGTGCGGTACGCGCGACAAATGCAGAGCTGGAAGCAGGTTGAGCGGAACAAGATCCTCATCCTGCATTGCTATCAGGTCAAATGGGGAACTACAATCGGTTTCTTGTCCGGGACAGGTTTCCACTAGACCTAGGCTGGCAGACCCAGGCTCCATTTCATATTGGGTCAAGGTTGTCGCTTCGATGGACTGAATGAATCAATACCAATTCTGATGGGCCTCGGAATCGGTGGTCGGCCTCCCGGATTACCATGTTCAGATATGAAGATCTTGATAGAAGAAGCCAGCTTGATTCAACACAACAGCAACCTATAAATCTCCTATACCTGGCCAGTGATAGCGAGTGGATACGGTTGTCCATCTTCTCTGGTCCCTTCATGCTCGCGATCTTCACAGGGTGGACTTGTGGTGCGCAGAAGTGCCTGCCACCAGACACGGTGTTGTCCAAAGGTGGCTCTCTGCATGCGAAGCGAGCATTACATCCGAACTCTTACGAGGGCGCGCACCAAAAGTACTGTTTACGCTAATTCAAATGACTTACTATGAAAGGAGATTTTCTGAGCTTGTAGGCACTCTTACCTATCTCTTAGCTATAAGTCAGATCTAATAGGCGGCCGCCTAAACTATATTTCCAGTCTCGCTAGGCGCTATAGGCGTCAAGTATTGAGCTCCCATGTCTTCGGGGGCCCTTGTGAGGGCCAACGAAAACAAAGTCTATCGTCTTTTGATACTTTTGGTGCGCGCCTCGGTAGTTGATGCGCTGTGGTGACTATTACTCCCAAGGCCATAGGCGAAGAAGAGGATGTCCAGGCAGCAGCGCAGCCGCTACCAGAGCGAGTGCCAAGGCTAGTGAGGCTCAGACGAGGTCCGCAGTCCGGGGAAGAAAGAATTAATTATTGGAGCTGGTGAGGCGAAGGCCAGGCACGCAGGCTCTCGGTGCTAGACTCCGACCCAGACTGGCTTGCAGCGGGCAGGGCTCTTGTCACCTTAACAGGGCTGACAAACGAGGCATGTGGCATTTCAACTGCTCTTACATTTTCTCACTTTGCTTGTCTACGCTCCTCAAAGAAAACCGCTAGATATAACTTAGACGCTGTTGTTGACGCCTTTTAACAAGCCACTTTCCCACATGTTACTACCCGTCAGCCTCTGCTGACAAGCCCGTTTCAACCTCCATGCGCATAACGAACGGCTCGATGATTCGATGATTCGCACTGCTATCTTTAGGCCCATCGTGCCTGGATGCCCGTCCTGAACCCTTTCCTGCGCGCGCTCTTTCAGAGTAGTGTGCTAGGTCATGCGCTCCCCGCCCAGAACTACGTCCTTCTTGTCCCTACGACCGAATCCCTCTTTTACGGCCAGGATCGCGAAACCAACAAGAGGTACGCCGACCATGTCGACGACGAAGATTTCCTTGGGAGCCACATCCTCCGAATCATCCCTGCGACGGCGGAGAAAGATGGGAATGTCCGTGACAGTCGTGGCAAGGCAAAAAACTATTCAACCGTTAATGGGCGCACGGTGATTCTGAAGGAGAACACCGTGTATAGTAACAAGGGATTCAAACATCTGAATCAGGCGACTCTTTTGAGCGACTTGCTGTACTATTCGCCAGGAAATGACATGCAACAATGGCTTGTCTACTACATATCGAAACCTCTGACTGGGCTGTTCGAGGCATTGCCCATCAAACCGGCCATCATCGGAGAGACCAGAATCAACCACGCAATACCTGGCTCCTCGTCCTCATCATCTGAGCCCCCCACACCGAAAAAGAAAGACATCAAGACCTTTGGACAACTATTGGAAAACTTTCCTATGATACAGCGACAGATGCAACCCGGACTAGAAAGATTGTTTAACGAGTTCAGCAAGGAATTAGGAAAGCCTCTCCCACCGCCACCCTCGCGCAGTCCAACACCCAGTACTTTAGATGGGACGACTCAAGCTTCGGAAACCGGGTCTGTCAGATCGAACGGGTCCGTTAAGTTGCCGTTCAACTCTCCCGCCTATTTCGAGGATGAGGAAGATCTTATGCGAACAGCCCTGGAGACTGCTGTCACAGCTGCGATTGATTTGTTCCAAGGCGTCGACAAGCAGCAGCTTTCCTACTTGGGTGCCACAACCGATCTGACGGGTCCTGATGTGGAGAAACTGATCGAGCGTTACGTGGCAGAATATGTCCATCCTACTTTATTATTCCCTCGCCTGTGTTCATTTCATAAGGCGCAAGATCAAGAACTTGATAGGCGGATACGACAGATGGATTGTTTAGACGTCTCTCAGGTTGGCATAGTCCTCGAAGACGGTAGAAAGGGCAAAAGAGACCTCATCAACCGGGTCAACCGTGGTGTCGCGGTGTTTCGAAGGATGGGCGTTGCCGGGAGTCCTCAAGAAATGCTCGACATCCTTCTCGAGACCCAAAAAGTGGTGTCGGAGCCACAAGGCATTTCAGACGAAGAAAAAAGGGCTGTGGCTGCAATGACAATAAACGCAGATATTCTGGTGTCCATGCTCCTGCTGGTGGTTGTCCGCGCCTCCGTTAGGCATCTTCAGGCAAGATTGTCCTATATGCAGCGCTTCATCTATATTGACGACGTCGAAAGTGGCGAAATCGGATATTCTCTGAGTACATTGGAGGCTGTCCTGACATATCTCGCAAGAGATGCTGTTGGTTTGCGAAAGGCATCAAAGCAAAATCAATGGCTGTGGAAAGCCGTAAAAACCGGAAACATTGATGAAGTCAAATCAATATTCGAAGAGTCGGCTATCTTATCAGACGACCTCGTCGATGAACCTGCAGAGATCCCATTGTCCAGAGCAACAACAGCATCAGCCAAATCGTCCGAATCATGTCCGAGAGTGACGTTATCGCGAACTTCGTCGAGTGAGGGTGGCCTGTCACATGTATTTCCTTTTCAGGCAGCCGAGAGAAAGAATTTGCTACCCAAGCAGAAGAAGAAGGTGCAAATGGCAGCTAGGAGCATGTCAGTCTCATCAGCGTATTCACAATCCTCTCGGGCCGCGACAATTGAGACATCGCTGAGCGGGATTGAGGGCGACACGTCTGTGCAGAGTCTGGCTCAAACACAGGATGCTGCGGGAAATTCGGTCCTGATGATGGCAGTCGAAAACCAGCGATCAGAATGCCTTCGATACCTGTTGAGTCTTACAGAATATTACAGTACTGAAGCAGTGTTGTCAGATGTAACACAGGAAGGGGCTACATTACTGAGCGCCGCAGTACAGTTGGCCAACATGGATTTGGTTGATATCATCCTCGGCTATGTCGAACAACACGCCGACGAGCAAGTATTCCGCGAATATCTATCTGTAAAGGACTCTCGAGGACGGAGTGTGGCACACTACCTGTTCAATACTCCTCAGCTGATCAAGAGACTCGCAAATGTCCTTCCGTGGCGGCAAAAGGATAGAATCGGCCATACCCCCTTGTTCGCGATTTGCCGGACTTATGACCACCCTGACTATAGCAGCATGGTTTCCGAAGCCCTGACCGCTGCAAAGGAAGCTCAACACGAAGGGGGTCCACTCCGTGTGGAAGACCACATGGACAACAAGGGCAACTCCTTGCTGCATATCGTCAATGATGCTGCCATCCTCCAACGGATCCTACAAACTTGCGAAGTCGATCTGAATGCCATGAACGACAAAAAATTTACCCCCTTGATGCTGGCAAGCAAGTACGGGAGAGTAGACATGGTTCGAATTTTCCTGAGCGACCCACGAATAGATTTGCATCTACGCGAGTCTCGTGGGCTAACTGCTGTGGAACTGGCGAAAGATGACGAGGTGCGGAATCGGATTGACGACTTGACCTTGTTCTCGCCTTCCAATACAGCCGATGCTACGGGACGGATTACAGCAATTGTCCGGTCATTCTTCGTCGAGGATGGTTCAACAAGATTTATTCTCAAGTCGGGTGCTCCAAACCCTGCGGTCTCAAGCACAACCTATACCATCACCACAAGCCGGCGCTCCTTACAAGACTTCGAAAACCTGGCAAAATGGCTCTTGATGGATTTTCCAGCGTCATACATGCCGACGGTGCTAGCCTCGAACTTCCGCAATCCATTCCAGCTACACTCCCGACCATCCCGTGCCGCGTTGTATGATATACAAACCAATCTCGACCGGTTCCTGAAAATTCTATTGAAACATCCTACTTTCTCCACGCACGAAATGCTCTGGGAATTCTTCCTCGTCCCAGATATGCAGCAAGAACAGACAGCGGATCGAGCCCGCCTGAAGGCAGAACTGATACAAGAAAAGATTAACGATGAATATGACCCTCTCATTTCTCGGGCAGACATGATTGCTGTGGACGGTCTGGTTTCTCATTCGAGAGACATTGTACGGAAAATCAACATCTGCACCAGGTCGTCCATCCGGAAGGGTCATGCTTATGTTCAAGCACAGGCGGATTTTGCAGAGGCGTTGAGCTTATGTTCGGTGGCCTTTGCAACGATGGGAACACCTGCAGCGACACTTTCGAAGATGCACGTCGACGCTTTTTTGAAATTTGCGGCTTTGATGCATTCTGAGCCGGCGAGTTCTCCTCTGCAGAACTACATTTGCAGTTTGTCCTCGTTTCAATCGACAGTTGCGGCTGTGCAATCCGCACTACTGAAGCCGAGCGCATTGATTGACCGGATCACGGCCGCCCAAAGAGCGATGGAGAAGGATAAGTCAAACTTGGCGAATAACTCGACTCCTAGAAAAGGAGTCTTAAAGAATCTCAATCTGCCTTTTCCGGGCACGGAGGAATCACGTATAAAGGTCGTTAAAGATACGGAGAAGAAGATCTTGGAGAGAGGATTGGAGATCGAGAAATTGGGCCGAGAACTGAGATATTCTCAGGAGGTGGTTGTTGGAGAGCTGGCCGGTTGGACAACCTGGAGGCAAGAAATGGGCCGCGGAGAGATGAAGAGGCTTGCTCGAGGGATTGTGGTCCGGGAGCAGGAACGGCTGAAGGCTATGGAAAGAGTCCTCAGAGCATTGAAGGGGAGCTGATTGATAGCCATGTTTGGATCCCGAGGCCTGCAAAGAATTGGCGGCTTCAAGGGTACAGGGACAGAGATGGGTCGCGTGTCTTGCTTTTCTTTGTACCTAATGTTTTTGTGGCAAGCGAAGGATATCGATGGGGTCGAATTGGCGTGTGTGTGTATAAAACCTGCGACAGCGGATGGGGTCGATTCATCAGTCAATCATACCCAGCCGGGATGGGATTCTAATATAGACCAGCATGTTGTACATTCTTCGTCGTCAAGACGTTCCATGCGTTCTTTTGTACTGATTGTCTTATTCCATTCGTTCGTTCGATCATACATTCTTCTGGGTTCCACTTAATTGCGTCTCGTCTCATCGTCATGCCAGGCAGGCCAGCGCTGGATGGAACTCAGGCGCGGCCAAGACTCTATACCGCTTCACATCTCCGCCTGCTCTATTCCCCATCCTTTTGGTGCGTAATAAGTCAATCAGCCATGCGTGACCTTCTTGACTGTCCCGTCCTTATCGACGTGAATGTTCAGCCTGTTTTATGCAAAAAGGTGGAAAAGGTGCAGAGTGTTAGCCTGGAACAGTTCTTGACAAGACGACAAGTAGATTTCTCGGTCGTGCCTCGCTCGTTCCTCTTCGTCTTCCATCACTACCTACCGCTTGAATGCTTCATCCTTCATTCATTCACTCATTCACTCAAACAACCAAGCCACACACAATAAACAACACGAGCATACCAAAAAGGACAGGAGAAAAAAAAAATGGTCCGTACGTACCGGTCCGGGTTATGGTCCATGGTCATCATGCCGCCCTCCTCGACGACGCGGTGGTTCTGCGGCAGGTCCTTCTTGGCAAACTGCGTCTCGTTGCTCGTCTCGCCCAGCCTCTTGCCCATCAGCTTGTTCATCCATTCCCCGGTGTTTGCGTTGCTGCCACCGCTGGAGCCGGTGTTGGTAATGCCGGGGACGACGAGAGGCATCTTTGTAAAGTTTTGGGAAGGGAGATACGGGGTAGATAGGTGGTGAGGTAGGTAGTGTCAAGGATCAAGGATCTGTGTGAGGTGAGGGTGAGGGTGAGGGTGAGTGTGTGAGGTGGGAAGTCTGTCTTTTGTCAATGGTATACTGAGGGAGAGAGGGGGATTGATATCGCTACTGTCACGGTGGGATAAATTCCAGTTCAGGTATACCAGAAGAAGAAAAAAGAAAAAGGCGAAAGGAAGAAATGAAATGGGGAGACTGATAAGAGGGCCTTTTTGTACAAATCTTGTTCCGTTTGATTGATTGATGCCTGGTCCTTGTCCCTCACATGCCTGATGATATACAGTTTTGCGTGCCCAGATGGGGAGGCACAGAGGGAACAGCCATGACGTCGTTTAACCGAGACTAAGCAGCCTTTGGTGCAACTCCTTCCTGCGTCATTGACAATTGAACAAGCAAGCCCTGAGGTCAAAATTTGTTGTACGAGGCACGTGTACAATTAATTGCACCACCCCCCATAAGACACTTTTCTCGAGCGAAGAATTACTTTGTTATTTTTTGAAGCCCCTTCCCACCCTCTCCCTACTTGAAGAGGCAAACGTGGCTGGTCAAGTTAGCAGCCCTTATCCATGACTTATCCAGATTTGCCCCCTTCCCGGCCCTCCGTGGAGGCCCGTTTGATGTCAGGATCCATGGTGCCATGCTCGTCAAAAGGGATAAAAGTACATTTGCTTTGGAATTCCTTCTCCAACAGCCAGCCATCAAGTTTGGAACAAGAATGTTGATCTAAAAGCACACACATCAGGACCGAGATGAGTTTGATCCTGATAACAGACACACGCATAAGAGGGTAGAATCCACCTTTGTTTCCACAGGTTGCTCTCGTTTAAGTGCGAAGATATCGGCATCCTCGACTGCAACTTTTTTGGCACCAGAGAGATTTAAATGTAGTCTCTGGCCGCCTTCTGCAATTCGATCATCCTCCACCCTCTCGTCTCGGGATTGTTGACTTCTTCTGGTATCCTCGTCACGCCAATGGCATACGTGACCAACTGAACTTTATCTTCCATCCCTGCTGCCAATTCATTCGTCTTTGCGTTGCGGTAGACGTGGACTTCTTGTGTCCGACAAGTGATGATGAAGACAGGGATATCGCCAGGTTCCAGTAATCGAGCATTCAAAATGTCGACATGTCTGATGTCCAGAATTCGTCCATCCGACTTCAAGCCAGCTTTGGTGTATTGCTCCATCAGAGCCGAATAGACCTGGAATTGTGCCGCTGAGAGCCACAGTTTCAAAGTTTCGACGTCGCCCTTAACGTATGCGTCGAGCACTTCTGGCAAAATGTATTCTCGCATGTCACGCAGGAAAGGTTCCAACTGGAAAGACGGGTCCATTTCGCGGAATTTCTTGATGACCATAGCCGTCTCATTCTCCGCAAAAAACCCAGCAACACGGTCGGAGATGGAACGCGCCGTCGATATTAAAGGGTTCTCGGACTCTTCGTACGTAGTTTTCATGTTGAAGAGACTCTGCATTAATTTGGAATTCTCCTTGAAATTGGTCCATGACTCTCGCCATGCCGAGTCTTTGTGAACCGTAATGTTGGTTCCAGCACTGCAATGTTTGTCAGAGTAAGATCTCACACAAAATTTTACCCTGGTGGACTTACTTTGGATCTTCAACCATGGGTTCATGATTTTTGTGAGGTGATTGTGCTTCTTTCAATCTTCGGGCTTCTTCCCTTTTCCGTCGCTCCTCTTTCTCTATCCAGCCACCATATCTGGAGCTGCTTCCATCATCAACTGCTTCCGAGACATCCTTGAACGCCTTGGTTTCGCGAATTGGCCGGGTGGCTTTTTCGATTCCTCGACCGGTAGCGTTGACTCCTTTTCGCACACCCTGCACGACGGGCGTTTCCCAGGCCCAAGCTGCGCCTTGTCCAATGGCACTGGCCGTGCTCTTCAAGACTTGCGACGTGCCCTTGGAAGCGGCCTCAGATGCCTCTCGCGCCCTTCTTACAGCATCGGACTCGGTAAACTGTTGGACGGAGCCCGAGAGGTGTTTTGTAGACTCATTCCATTCTTTGGACGCCTTAAATTCCGTTCGAAGCGTGTCGACAAAAACTTGCCACGGAGTTTTGTCGCCATGGGGTGGTGGTGGAGGAGGAGATTCTTTTCCTTCCTTTCCTTCTTTTTCTTCCTTTTCGGATTTTTCTTCCTTCTGGTCCTTTTCCTCCTTGCCCTCACTTGCTTCTTTTTCTGGTTGGCCGTCCCGTGGCGGATCCCGAACCTCTTGTTTGGGATCTTCCTTAGGCTGGGTTTGTTGGAATCGAACTCCGGAAGTGTGCAGTGATCGAAGGAGAGTTTGGCTCGAGAGAGTGAGTCGGGGGGAGAATGGCGTCAGGTGTAATGAGGAATTGAAAGATTTTGAGGGTTCGTCCGACGAGAGTAATCTTCTGTACACTGCTGTCCTTCCATACTGCGCCGACGCTCGGAGCGTGGAAAATTGACTGGTGGCTGTCACATAATGACGGACACCATGGACGGGTGCGCGACGCAATACAGTCATGCTACGGAGCGGATATCTGCAACCAGGAATAAAGAAACGAGCAGAGCACAGAAAGAAAATACTTCAGCAAGCTCGTTCATGGTCAGTTGATGCGTCTTTGAAGACGGCGGAGGAAATATCGAATTTCGGTTCCGGCTAAGCTTCCTGTTCCGTTTCTCTGTAAATCCAATTCTATCTTTCTCGAGACACACACGACCTGCACAATGCTGGGCTATTAGTCTACCGGCAACGACAAAACATCACAGCCCGGGCAAAATGGCGCATCCAAGGCCTCCTTTACTTTTGTCCATGTGTAGATCGTGCAGGAACACCTACCTCACACAGTCACGACGCACCATCTCGGACTCAAGTCCAAGCTCCTCCAGAGAACCAGAGCGGCAGCCCAGCAGACTCTCTGAACGCCTTGGGATCAAAGTCAATGAGGAAACCCCAGCAAAGGAGACGGATGCTTTGAGCCAGTTCCACGAGCTCCTACGTGGAAGCTCAAACAGCAACGCATCGTCGCAAACCACAAACAATTCGATGCGCTCCATCTTCCAAAGAGACCTCCGGAACGTCGCACAATCTGCACAAGCAGAATCCGCGGCACGACCTTCTGTCAGGAGCTCGTACACGGACGAGCCTTATCACATAAACGTCTACGCCCACCGACACAACACCCACATCACATTCACGGAACCCAACCGCAACCCGATCTTGTCCTTCTCGTGCGGCAACCTGGGACTGCGCAACGCGCAAAAGGCATCCTACGATGCAAGTTTCCAGCTCGCAGCATACACGTTTCGCAAAATGGCAGAGAAGCAGTGGAAGCTGGGAGGCAGCAAAAGTAACAAACATAACAACAACCCGTGGTGTACACTATCGAGCATAAAGAAACCCGCGTACAGTGGCTCCCCGGGTGCAGGAATCGAAGTCATCTTCCGAGGATATGGGCCAGGTAGAGAGGCCTTCCAGAAAGCACTGCTGGGAACGGAAGGCAGAATGATTAAACCTCTGATCGCGAAGGTGACGGATGGGACGAGGTTGAAGTTTGGTGGCACCAGGAGTCCCCAGGTGAGGAGATTGGGTTGAGCGAGGGGAAATGTATTTATTGTACGACTATGGATGGTTGCATAGAGGAAAACATCGATGAGTTCTGCTCCCGAATGCAGACTCGCAGGCAGAATAATCATCAGACTCTATCTGGAACTGATCACCAAGAGTGCACCTCGCTGTTCATTCCATAAGTATATTCAATATCCACCTGGTGAACTCGAGAAGTAGTCACCGGCACTAACCGGACTCAACCTCGCCGGCGACGGGCTCGAGCTCCCCTCCGAGTTCTGATCCATATTCTTACTTCTCGAACGTGGTATTTGCAACGCCCCTGTGCTAGATACTGTGCGATGGGGCTCCAAAAGCGCCGGCTTGTCCCTGAAGCCGACGCCGACGATGACCCTCCGCAACGCATCGCCCCTCGGATCGATC